AAGGCAGCCTTGCAGACTACAGCCAGGATTTCTGCATCTTCTTAGAATCCCCCATGACAGCGCCCTTTACCAGCAGGAAGTAGTTTGGAAAGAACGACGCCCAAATTCCCAAATATTGTTTATAAATGTTTGTTTTCATTTAAATGGATTTGGTTACAAATGGTTAATGATCAAAACCAATATCTTTTTTAAAGGTAAAAAGGGGATTATGGTATAGATATGAATACTTTGTTTTGGAATGGATTTTCATTTATTGATACAATTTAAGGTTAATTTTGTGATGTGTATATTCTCCTTTTGTTTAGGTATTGTGTTTTTATAGCTCAGTTAGAAATGTAATGTATACTTTAGTACAGATTTTAGATAGTTACCTATAATAGTAAAAACTTATAGCTAGGTGAGTTAGGTTTTCTAGATATATAGAGATGTATTTGAGATAGATAGGAATTCTTCAAACCTTTCAAAGACCTACAGAATATGGCATTTAAAATGGTTTAGGGTTTTTCTTGGCAGTGAGACATAAATGTTCCTGGCAACACCACCTGCATCAGAAAGGAAGATGGCCATTAAAGAAAAACGTCATGGAGTTTGCCTCCAATATGGCAAGACTAGCCATTTGGACAAGATACTGCTCTTGTCTGGACTGTTTGACTTTGTGCTGTATAAACTGGACATGCAGGGCCCACAGAAAAGTGACTGCTTATTCAAGATGGACATTGCTACAACGGTCCTGCTTCATGGAAGAGTCTGCCAGACAGCCTGCAGGACACAGAGAAAAGTGACTGACAAACTGCCAATACAAGAAGACAGTTTAAAGTTTCCTGCTTTGCTGAAGAGTCTGAAGACACACTATGGCCTATGGGCTGAAGATGGAAGATTACAAAAGAACTTCGGGTGACCAGGCAGTGAGTTGTCTCTGTCATTTCTAGAGCTTATATATTATCCTTCTGTGGTCTTTGAAGGCGTTGAAGACAGATAGTTATGGTTATAGTTCTCATTAGTTAGGATTAAAAATAAGTTACTTAGACTTTAGACACACAAAGATAGAATAGATGATGGAATATTTTCTTCAAATCTTGCTAAATGTTAATGGACTAAATATTGTTAACTGTGATTCTTACTTGATAACTATTGTATAATATATTTTGCTATGTTAAGGTTAAAACCCTTCTTTTTATTTAGACAGAAAAGAGGAGATGATGGGTGATGTCATTCTGTATATGTTTCTCATACTGGTTAATAATAAAGCACTGTTGGCCAATAGGAAAGGAAGATAGGAGGGACTAGGAGACAAGGAGGAAATAGGAAGTAGTAAGGAGGAGTCAGCATGGAGAGCCTGGAGAGAACAGAACCGCCATTCCTCTGCTCTCGGTAAGACCACGTGGAAATACATAGAAATGGGTTAATAATTAAGACAGAGCTAGCCGATAAGAAACTAGTAACTGGCCAACAGGATTATATCAAATACAGAGTCTCTGTGTGTTAATTGAGGCTGGTGTGGCGGTGGGACAAGACTGGCGGTGGGAGGAAAAAACCCGTACTCCTTACAACGGTTTTTCTTGACAGTGAGATATAAGTGCTCCTGGCAATACCACCTGCATTAGAAAGTAAGGTGGACACCAAAGAAACTCATTATGGAGTTTACTTCCAATATGACAAAACTAGCCTTTTAGGCAAGATACTGCTTTTCTCTAGACTGTTTAACTATATGCTTTATAAAGGAGATGTGCAGGACCCACAGAAAAGTGACTGTTGAAACAAGATAGATAGTCCTACAGGGTTTCTGCTTCATGGAGGAGTCTGCCAGAAATTCTTCAGGACACAGAGGAAAGTGAGTGACAAACTGCCAATATAGGTGAACAGTTTACAGTATCCTGCTTTGCTGAGAAGTCTGCCAGATACACTGTGGCCTATGGGCCATAGATGGATGTGCCAATTTACAGAAGTACTTTGGATGACTGTCCAGGTAGTGAGATTTCTAGAATTTATATACTATCCTTCAATGGTCAGATAGTTATGGTTATAGTTTTCCTTAGTTAGGATTAAAGATAAGTTATGTATAAGACTTTAGACTCATAAAGATAGGATAGGTGATAGAATATTTTCTTTAATTCCTGATAATGTTAATGGACTAAATATTGTTAACTATAGTTCTTATTTGATAACTGTTTGGTTATATATTTTACTATGTTAAAGTTAAAGCCCTTCTTTTTATTTAGACAGAAAAGAGGAGATGATGGGAGGTGTCATTCTGTAAATATGTTTCTCTTATTGGTTAATGACTAAAGCCCTGTCAGTCAATGGGAAAGCAAAATAGGAGGGCTAGGAGACAAGGAGGATTCTGGGAGATATAGTAGAGAGGAATCAAAATGTAGGATAAAGAAGAGTAAGAGGTCCGGATCCTCTCTCTAGTAATATAAGACCACATGGAAACACTTAGATTGACAGAAATGAGTTAATATTTAAGACAGAGCTAGCCAGTAAGATGCTAGTAACCAGCCTACAGCTTCATAATTAATACAGTGTCTCTGCGTGTTATTTGGGGCTGATGTGGCTGTGGGTCCAGGTTGGCAGGAAGGTGCACATAATACCCACTCTGTCTGTGCACTGTGGGTTTTTTATTATTATCACTTTTACTTAAAGGTGTTTCTTTTTGAACACAATACAATAAGGCCTTGTTTTTCTCAACATGCCTTTGTATATTTTCTCAGAAATGGTCAAATTTAGTTTTTTTTTTTTTTTTAGTAACTTCATCTTTAATATTTAATGAAAGTTTAGAAGTTTTTGTTTTGGATTTTGTTTTTGTTATTTTCTTTTTGAGCCTACTGACTTAAGAGTTATCTCTAGTTGAAACGTTGAAAAATGGTTCAATCCTTTTAATTTTGCTGCTTGAAATGTGAGCCTTAAATTTTTATACATTCCCCATAGAAAACCTGGAACTTGGAGAAGCAGAATCATTGAAGCAAAGTTAAGAAGTTGACAGAATCAGACTTCCATGGGTTTGGAGAGCTGAGACCTCCCTAGTCCTTCCTCTTAGAGGAGATGCTGTGCTTGGAGAAGCAAGGGCTTGGCTGAACATACTTTCCATCTTTCCTAAACTCATAGGACTTCCAACTTCATGGTTCACTCATTAACAGCTGCCAAACAGCCTCTGTATGGAATGATATCACTCTAAACCCTAACTTAGAAAATTAATTACATCTATCTATCTATCTATCTATCTATCTACCTACCTACCTACCTACCTACCTAGTTAGTATGGAGGGGTTTGAAAGCGTGCACAGGCCATAGTGAGTGAGTGTGTGTCTGTGTGTGCATGTGTGTGTGTGTGTGTGTGTGTGAGAGAGGACAACTTATGGGAGTTGGTTTTCTCTTTTTAACATATGGGTGGAGAGGATCAAACTCAGGTGGTCAGGCTTGCAGCAAACACCTTTATCTACTGAGATATCTCAGCAGCTCCCTATTTTGTAATATTAAAATGATTACAGAAGAAAACAAGAATATTAAAAAGAAAATAAATAGTTTGGTGGTGGTGGTGCATGCCTTTAATCCCAGCACTTGGGAGGCAGACACAAGTGGATCTCTGTGAGTTTGAAGCCATTCTGGTCTACAGAGTGAGTTCTAGGACAGCCAAGGTCTATAGAGAGAAATGCTTTCTCAAAAAATAAAATAAAATAAATAAATAAATAAAAGGGAAGGTTGGAAGGGAAAGAAAGAAAAGAAAAAGGAGAGAAAAGAAACAAAATGGGCTATATGCCCAGCAGTTAGGGGTAGGTTTGATTAGTGTATGTGCACATCATTGGCACCATAACTCTGTGAACATGGATTACCATTTCTCATATTGCTTATACTGGAGTCTGTTGGAATGACCTGCTCCCACTATAGTCTCACACACACACACACACACACACACACACACACACACACACACACACACAAAACCTTTTAATGAACCATGTACAACATGGCTTTCACTCGTGAATCCTCTGCTGTGTGTTTCCTTTGCATAGAAACCTGAAACGTTACTATTTTGAACTAGGAAAACCATAGATGAAAAAAGAAAAGTAGGTAGCGGTTCACAAGGAGGAAACTCAACCAGCCACTCCCAAGCAGGGCTTGGCACATCAAAGAGCCCGAGGAGCACAGCATTATGCATTTTGTTACTTCAGTAAAAACAGACGTGTGATGTATGTAACTTTATGTATAAACTGCAGCTAGGCATCAAACCACAGATATATAAGTTATAAAATACACTGAATACAGATACCACACACAAGGTTTTCAACCCAAACTCCAAGGAAGCACCTTCCAGCCCCCAAGGCATATGTCCCCTTTCCTTGCAGGTCATATTTTCCCACTGTGCCATCTCTACACCTGAGGACAGGCCCTGCTCCTGCATGGTGTTCCCCACTCTCAGAACACACCATGAGTTCCCTTCACTCTTCCCAAAGGAGCTGAAATCCTCTTGCTTCTTTTCCTGGCTCAAGTCCTGACCCCCCCCCCCATCCCCGCCACAACACAAGCTTCTTGAGAGCCAGGGTGTTGCCTGAGTTGTTTATTTCTAATTTTCTAGAACCCAGGACAGAGCACCACGCAGTAGGTACTCATAAAATACTTACTAGTGAGTGGGACTAAGTTTAGTTCTACAGACGGCACAGTGTCTCCAGGCTCCTTTCCCATGCTTCCCTCCATTTTTTGTAGATAGCAATAGGCAGAAGCCTGAGCACCCTGCAGGAAGCCAGCAATGCGCTATCCTGCACCAAGGAAAACTTCTCAGCTTTAAAGACCTTCTTTCTGCAGAAGAATTCCATCCTTTGTATAAAACACAGAACCAAAATCCCAAATGTAAGAGTTAAAAATATATATGCAATGACAATATTTGAAAGGCATTTCATTTTTTTAAGGTGGGGGTGGTCTTGTATGTCATCCTACGAAGGGAAATTAGTCTCCATCAACCATGTTCATTTGCTGACAAAGAACAGGGAAAGACATGGAGGTACCTGATGGTTCTCCACACATCGAAGCCATCCAGAGGCTTGGTACCATTGGTACTTCCCCCAGCCAGATTCACCAGTGTTGGAAGCCAATCCGAGATGTGGATGAGCTCCCGGCTCTTCACGCCTTTTTGTTTCAGCAAGGGGCTTGCCACAAAGCCCACTCCACGGATGCCTCCTTCCCACAGGGACCATTTCCTTCCTCGAAGCGGCCAGTTGTTGCCCCCAGACAGAGTCTGTCCACCATTGTCTGAAACACAGAGAAGCCTGGGCATGAGTGGTTAAAGGTATCAAAATGGAGTCGCTTGTGTCAAGCCCTAACAGACTAAAACATAATTGGTGAAGCTGAGACTTCGAAGGAGGGGACTCTCTCACACACATGCTGTATGATGAGAATAAGCTCAGAACCACAGTCTCGGGGGTAGGGGAAGGTGACCTTACACAGGAATACACCTACAAGGACATCCATCCAGTAACTTTCTACCTTGAGCTGGTTCTGTTCTTGCTACTCATCTCAGCAGCCAAGGACTGTTGCTTCAAAAATAACTTATGAAATCTCCGTCAGTTTTCCTTTAAAAACATCCCAGGTGCAACCTCGTTAAAGGTGCCCAGAGTTAGCAAGAAAAGAAAACATTGCAATGCTCCCTGTGCTCATAGACACTCATTACCTTTGAGACTCTCTGTTTGGGGCTGGGCGGGGGCAGTGCCACCTCTCTTTTTAAAAAGTTAATTGTGTGTCAGAGAGGGGGGGGGCGCAAATGCAGGTGCCCGTGGAGGCCAGAAGAGGGCTTCAGGTGTCTCAGAGCTGCACAGGTGTTGTGAGCCATGCTATGTGGGTGCTGTGAGCCTAACTGTCTTCAGTAGAACTGCACAGTCTTAAGGGCTGAGCTATGGCTCCAGGTATTAATTATTTTATTGTTCCTGACCCTGTCTTGCCTCCCAATCTTTCCAAGTGGTAGAAAGTGTTTCAAGGACTTTGCCTAAGGGTGGGGAGAAGTGGCCCAGTGGTCAGGGTATATTTTCCAGCTCTCAACAGTACCTTCAAGAAGGGATGCTCGCTGTAACTGTTGTGAAATGGTCCCTGGAGAACGGTGGGGAAAACTCGCCCCTTCCCACCTGCTCTCCATTCCTCTTCCACTGGACACTGTCCTCCCTGACCAAACATAATCTGTTCTGATGACACTTATCTAATAAAAGCCCTTTAATCTTCCATGAGTTCTACAGGAAGATGCCTGGGCAAAGCCATGGATGAATTTTACATGCAGTGGACAACAATGTATGACACAGGAACATGAGAGCTGGCGTTCACCTGGTTCATGGAAATTAAACTCCAGCTAGTGACTCGATGCTCTTCATAGGAGGACAGCAAACCTTTTAAAATCTGTGTTGGAGCACCAGGCATGGTGGTGCAGGCCTTTAACCCCAGCTCTCTGGGGGCAGAGGCAGGTGGTGCTCTGAGTTCTAGTCAGCCTGGTCTACAGAGTGAGTTCCAGGACAGCCAAGGCTACACAGAGGAAGGAAGGAAGGAAGGAAGAAAGGAAGGAAGGAAGGAAGGGAAAGAAAGAAACAGAAAGAAAGAAGTTCATCTTTCAAGAAATCTTCTAACACTGAAGCTGGTACCTGGTGACCTGAGCTCTTCCTTATGTGTGAAAGTCACGCTTTTTCCAAGCCTACAAATAGCAGTTAGATGGGAAAGGGAAACATTTCCTCCCTTTATAGGATGGCAAGGTGAAGGAAGCCCCACTGCATGGCCTACCAGGAAGAGAAGGTTTTGCTCCAAGATGACAGAGGCATGAAGGACGTTGGTGAAAACAGGATAGAAATGATAAAAAATGACAGACTCTTATGAGTCAGGTAAGGGCTCAGAGTTAAACAGTGACTTTCGACTATAGAAAAAAGCAGTGGTATTTCTAGTACACAGTTATTTGTAGAATCATATTAGTTTCCAAGGTACCCAGGGGCTAAGGTAATTTAATGTAATATTTAAATAACCTTTATTTGCATGCATATGATGTTTAAACACTGCTTTTTTTTTTAAACCACTACTGTCAAATTAACCACAGGAGGGTGGTGTATGAAAGACTTAGTTCATGGAATGTTCCACACAGTCCTCTCTTACCCTGGAGAAATGGCCCAAGACATTCAGTGGATACCTGGAACCCAGAACCACACTCTGGTTTTTCCTACACACACCTATAATAATGTTCAATTTATTTTCCTTTAATTTTGATATGTGTATGGGTATTTTGCCAGTATATATGTTTGTTCAACATGAATACCTGGTATAGAACTTCTGGAATTAGAGAATTAGAGTTACAGTCCGCTGTGAGCCACCATGAAACCCAGGTCCTCTGGAAGAGCAGCCAGTGCTCTTAACTGCTGGGCCATCTCTCCAGCCACATAACATAACAACTTATACATTAGGCACAGTAAGATATCAGCAACAATAACAATAAAGCAGAACAATTATAATATACTGTTACAAGAGTTACATGAAAAGGGTACAGTGGCACATGCATGCCCAGCTGAGGAAGGAGGATGTTTTTCAGCCCAGGAGTTTAAAAGCTGCCTGCACAACACAGAAAGACCCCATCTAAAAGTCAAAAGCTACGTGGCTGTGGTTGTCTCTAGCGCTGTTATCACACTGTATGTCACATGAAGGAACAATTACAGTAATCGTTGCAATAGATGTCTACATGCACAAGAAAGTGCAATTTAAAACTTGGAGTTTATTTATTTTCAAATTTTCCACTTCCTAGTTTCAGTGGACCATAGTGGACCACAGCTGACTGAAACAGTGGACGGCTAGGCGGTAAACACAGGGGACCGTACAGACTGTGTCTACAGGAAGCAAGAACTCAAAAACCAGTAAGCATTAACTCCACATCAGGTACCACTTGGATTTCACAAGACCTTAGGGTCTAAGATGGGACGGAGATGTAACTGACAGCTAACGCCAGCTGCTCACTTGCCGGGTGACCGACGCATGGCAACATGCTACCTCAGTTTCTTCCACTTTCCTGTTTTAAGGGGAGAGTGAAAAGACATCACTTGTGATTGCTTTTGTCAGGGCTCCTAACGCCACCTGGGTGTTAACAAATAGTAGCATAGCGGCTGTCATTACTCTTCACACCCACAGCCGCTGCAACAGTCTAGATTATAATGCTCTTGTTATTTGAGGAGGAGGAGGAGGAGAACAGTTGAGAATGGAAAAGCTGGGACCTTCCTGGGGCAGTGTGGGCTGGTTAAAGGCTTCATCTCCCTGAGAAAGCCGCAAACACCGGTGGGGGGGTCACTTCTGGGGGAAACCCTTTTACTGGTGTTGGGGAACATGGTTCAAGACTCCAGGGCCAGGGAATCCTGTCATGGAGTCACTGACACATACACTTTGCTTCCTTCTGCTTCATGAAGGGCCGTGTAGAAGGGTCTTGGGTTAGGCTAGAGAAAGAAACACCTCCTCAGCACATGCCTGGTGACAATGGATCTCATCATTTATATCAAAGACACACAAGACCCTTTCTTCAAACTCCACTGCATCTTTTTTTTGAAGATTCAAATTAATATGTGTTTGTGTGTGTTCTGTGATTTTATATGCACATGTGTTCAGGTGCCAGAAGAAGGCATTGGATCCCCCGGGGCTGGGGTTACAAGCAGTTTGTTAGCTGCTAGGTGGATTCCCAAACCCAGTCCTCTAAAAGAGGTGTAAAATCTCCGGACCACGGAGCCATCTTCTCTACACATCCCATATTGCATTTTCTCCCCCACCCAAACTCAAGGTTCGAGCACTCACACGAGTTTATGAAATACACATTCCATGTCACATAGCCTCCAGTACCCACAGAGTATGAGACCCCTATAACCAATAGACCCACACTTCATGTGCTCAAAATACAAGAAAATAAAACAAAAACAAAACCCTGGAATTTGAGGAATGCAGAGAGTGGAAAAAATAGTCTTCAGGGAAGAGCTTATCAACTGGTTATCCAATACCAGTGGTCAGCCCTGAAACATATATACAAGTAACATTACACAGGCTGAGCAGGTTGTATTTATGTATTTAGGAATATATACATGCATATACAATGCGCGCGCGCACACACACACACACACAATGTAATGAAAAGCAGAGGCTCTGAATTTGAAAGGGGGCAAAGAGAGGTATATGGAAGGGTTTGGAGAGAGGGAAGGGAAGGGGGAGATGATGAACTCAAACAATAAGAGTAGTTTTTAAAATGCACTAGAACGGAGTGCCCACAACCTGATGCCATGGCTGGCTGGGGGCGGCACAGATCCTGTTTCCCTCCCTTGTCTACACTGCCGTAAACCGAAGTGGCGCAGTGCCAAAGACATGCCCGCTGCCGCTTTTCTAAGCAGACACAGTTCTTTGAAATACCAGTTAATGCATCCCTTGGTTCCACATACTTGTTTGTGCTCTGTGGAAAATACTGGATGATAGCAGCGGTGGAGACCAGAGGTGGGTGAAGCCGAGAGCAGCTGTGTCTGGAATCTGATCCTAGTCTGACGGAGCGAGTCAGACCAGGGAGAAGAAAACACCCTGGGCTGTAAATGGAATCTGGCCACTGCTGCTACTGCCCCAATTGAACAGTCTCCACACATCAAGAGGCAAGGGGCCAAGGCAGCGAGAGGATTGTTTCTGTGATTAGTTCACCGTGATGTTTCTGCCATTAGCAATGATAAGCTTGCCTAGCACCAGTTGGCGACGTGGCTTCCTCTACGGGGTTCTCGAGGCTGCTCTAAGAGGAAAGTATTGTCAATCAACACATCTATGACTTCCACCTGCTTCATGAGTGGTAAAGCCAACTGCGGATGAGGGAATCTTTGCGCCCCCTGGGGGCAGCATCTCTACACAACAAGAACACATATGCTCTGATAAAACAGTAGGAAAGGGAGTTCCTATTGTGAATGTTAGTTCAGATAAAGATTTTTACAAGGACTAGGAAACACCGTATTTCAAACACATTCCTATTCTCCCTCCTAACTCTCTACGTGGTCAGAGTTATTTTTCTCTTGTTAAGAATTCATTTTCAAGAGAAAGTGTAGCTTGATTTTCTGACCGAATTACGTGCAAGCTTCCAAATCAAAATAAGATGACTCCAGATTTACAGGCTGGAGATTATGAGACTTATTTTTCCCCCCAGAGAAATAGCTTTTTTTTTTCCCCCAGCAACATTTTGGCAGACACAAAGCCTAATTATAAAACCTTTGCTGCCTAGAAAAGAGCCTGTCAAA